CGATTCTTGGTCCTGGTCGTGGCATGGCAGGTAGGCTAGCGGCACATGCGTTTAGTAACCAGGATTGTATAGGTACTCACTCTTCTCACAAAAGTGTGGTACCCCTTAGGGCCCAACCTATGATGTCAAGTAGGAATATATTAACTCTTCTAGTTTTTTGTTTCTTTTCAATGTTGGACAAGCCTTATAACTCTTCATTAAGTTTAGTTCTTTATATACCACGTTAATCTTCTCACGGAGGAAAATACGTTTAAACTTTGTCCCACTAATTTCGATGTGTAGGTCCCGCTTTTATTTAAGCCCAAAATTATTCAAAAATACATTGTTTACACCATTTTTCTCAACAATCCCCCACACGAATGAAATTCAATGTATAAAAATGCAAACACTAGTTCAAGTATAGTTAAAAGGTTACTATATCGAGATATGTAACCTAGTAACCTTGAATTTTTCTTAGTGAAAGACTATCGGATTTACTTGGCTAATCAGTGGACTTGATGTTTTTGAACTATCAGTTGTTTGTGTAAACTGAGATAATATAACTCACAAAGTTTCCTTTTGGACACAGTTGGTTCACATCTGTATTCATTTTGACCTTTAACACCACTTGGTTTAATAAGTAATTTAGAATAATCAGCCAACCATTTGTGGGAAAAAATGATTTTAAAAAAATTTATTTGAGCAATTTAAGCCTTAAGTTGCTCAAATAAAAGTGAAACTTACACCTCGAAATTGCTAGGACCGAGTTTAAACGCGTTCTCCTCCGTGAAGGGATGAACGTCGTATATTTATTTGTTTAAAACCGTTAAGTATTGAATGAGAAATTATATCTCAAAGTGACAAGTGATGAATTAAACTAAGATTAGTGTAATGAAATAAGGTTTGTCCCACATTGGAAGAAGACCAACACTTTTATGACTTAATATACTCCTAGTTGGCTTCATGGATTGGGCCCCAATGGGTACCATAATTTTGTGAGCGAGTACCTACACTACCTTAGTTATCACACACGCGTGAGTGCAGCCCGCTACGCCCCAGTCGAGCTTGGGCTTTAGTAAAAAATATTATATTTGGACAAAATTTATTTGGTACGGTGTGGATTATGGGTCAAACTAATCGGATCGTAATTAAATTCCCAACCAAAATTTAAAATCCAAGTAAAATTTTAAATTTTCTGTCCTTTTCTTTGAATTTGGTATCAAAACTTGGTGTAGTTCATTTCAAAGGGTTTGTTCACTCGAAAAGTGTCTTTTGCCTATTTAGATTAAAAGAGTGTGTCTCTTTAATTTGAGCAATGACATCTCATGCCTCTTCAGGCGATCTGAATAGCCGCCAAAAGTCTATAAATAGACTGCCTTTAAGCCATTTTCATTCATCCCAATTCTGAATTCAATTTTAAGAGTGGAACATTTGGCTTCTTAAAATTCTTTGACTTACGACAGTCATTAGAGATTTCACAGTTTGTCACAGTTATAGCACTTGTCTTTGAACTTTTTAGATCCTTGATTTGGAAGTCCATTGGTATACTTCCTCTTTTTATTAGTCTTTTTTATACTTTCCACTAAAGGTGGCAAATGGGTGGGTTGGGTTGGTTAGTTATGAGCTAGGTTAAATTGGGTTAGGATAAAATAAATTCAATTCATTTTTCACTCACGTATTAAATAAGTTATAATGGGTTGGGTTTATAATGGATTAGGTTAAACCCGTTAACCCATAAAATAATTAAAATTCTTAATAGATACTCATTAGTATACCAAAACACACACACACATTAGCAGTATACTAAAATACAATTATACACACGCCAAGGCACACTAATACACCAAAAACACACACACACACACTAATACACCAAAACACATACAAACTAATATACACATTAATATACTAAAACACACACTAATGCTCCAAAAATACACACACACACACACACTAACACAAAAACTAAAACACAATTAATAAAAAAAATGCACACATGATGGGTCGAGGTCAATTGTGGGTCATGGGTCAACCCGCGGGTCATGGGTGGTGTATTAGTGTATTTTTTTGGGTGTGCTAGTGTGTGTGTTTTGGTGTATATGTGTATGTTTTTGGTGTATTAGTGTGTGTATTTTTTTGATATATTAATATATTTATTTAATTTTATTAGGATTAATTACACTAGAGGTCCCCCAAAGTATTTAGTTTGTCTCTTTATGATCTCTAGTATTTCAATTGTATCATTTTGTCCCTGAAGTATTGAATATGTTTTTATATGGCCCTTCAAGCAGATAACATCCAGATTGTTAAAAAAAATTATCATAAACTTGTCACGTAATAGCTAAATATGGACAAAAAATAATTTTGATAGCTCTTAAACAAAATTTGGGTAACTCTTAACAAAAAAAAATGTGTAATATGAGTATCTTTTGACCAAAATTTGAATAACTCAAAATCAAAACTATGTAATTTATGTAGGTATTTAACTAAAATTTGAGTAAAAAATTGGTCAAGAGCTCTCCAAATTATTTTTTTATCCATATTTAAGTATCATATGATAAGTTTATGATAAAAAAATTATTAGCATTGTGAATACTGTCTGTTTGAGGGACCATATAGAAACATATTTAATATTTCGGAAATCAAAATGATGCAATTGAAATATTGGGGACCAAAATGAGACAAACTTCATACTTTGAGAACCTTCGGTGCAATTAACTTATGTTATTACTTGTTTTATTTAATAGAAAGATAAATACTCAATTCAATGGATACCCATTTTTAATTCATATTAACCCGCTTTATTAAAATGAATCATATTACCCAACCCATTTAGAGCATTAATTAATATAGATACTCAACCCATTTATTTATGGGCAAGTTGGACGAATTAATAAATAATAAGTTAAAATTGTGACATCTACCTTCAACGATGTTGGCTTTATCATTAGATTAAAGATTTCACATATATATATATATAATGAAATTGTCAATATAAAAATAATTTTTTATATTTTTTTATTAATATTTGAATTACTATTCAAATATATATTTAGACTGTCTAAACAGGTTTTACTATTTTCTATATTGTAACATTATTTTTGAAATCATCTAACCAAATAAGTTTTTTATCTTAAAAAATATTAATTTTTCTTAAAACTCTTCTCAAAAACTATTTTCAGATACTATTTTTTAAAACGCAAACCAAATAGGGCCTAAATTTCTTCGTTCTAGCATCCTCGATCCTCTACTTCTTGTCCAAAGTCTCCCAAAAATATTTTACAGATTTGACAGCACTATACACATTGTATAATGCATTGTCCAATCCGTTTAAGATGTAATTTCTATGCAATAAATCTGAATGCTTTCAGGCATCCACATTAACCATTTTTTCCTTAAGTGCAGAGACATATTCACTTAGAAACTTTACAAGATTAAGAGTTATAAGAAAGAAAAGTATCTTTTATTACTAACGTTTAAAATTTGAGTTATTCAATTTTCCCGAGTTTCTATGAGACACACTTACGGTAATCTGAAGGATAGAATAAGAAATAATCATATTAAACAAATGGTAGGAATAACTCCAATTGAAGATAAGTTAAGAGAACATAAATTAAGATGGTTTGGTCATGTTCAATAGAGGCCGATAAAGGCACCAATTCAAAAAAGTAAGATAATCTCTCTTAATGGTACTAGAAGTAAGAGTAAATCTAAATTAACACTGAACAAAATAATAAGAAAAGATGTGAAAATATTTAAATTAAATGGCATATAGTGTATGATCAAAATGAATGACGAAGACAGACTCATATAGCTGATCCCAAATGATTGGGATATAAGGTTTAAATTGGTTTGATTTGGTTTGGTTTGGTATTTCTGTTACACAAACAGAAACAAATAACATTCTAATGTGAACAAAGTATTGCAATAATACAACATAATACAAAATTCTGATTTAAATTATAACAATAATTAATCTAATTATACAATAAAATTAAATTTGTCTTAAGATAGTTATCCAATATATAATCAAAAATTAAATGGTAATTACTGTAAAAAATCTAAATTACTAAGTATATTGTTATATGCAACCAAATAAATAAAATAGAGTGTATAAACAAAACAAAAATGCACTTGTAGAAACGTATAACATTAATAATAATAAGAGAAATAATAAGAATTCGAATCCTGTGAATCCACATTTTCCTTAAGATAGATTTGCTCTGTCTCGGTGCTCAAGATTGATAAACCACTGTCTCTTAAGATAGAACGGATTTCACCTTTGTAAAATTAGCACTTCAATCTCCAAAGACCAACAAACACAACTTGTGTTTTGTACTAGAATCGACCAGAAATGCAATGCAAAGAGAGAGAGAGAACAGATGTAGCAGTATCCAGAATTTTTCTATCTATTTTTCATATCTGAAAATGGCTTGAAGGCAGTCCTTTTATAGACCCTCCAGTGTTTGTTTGGGTCGCCTGAAAAGACACGAGACACCACTGTGCGTTGTTCTAGGACTGTGAACAAACACATAAGGAACTGGTGCCTAATTCAAAGTTAACGGAAAAAATTTAAACTTAGGAATATATTAACTATACTAGTTTTTTTACTTACCCAAAAAAAAAAAAAACTCTACTAGTTTTGGGTTTTTTTTTCCAGTGTGAGACAAGCCTTACACTTCATTATATTTAGTTCTTTCCATCTATTCAAATGGGTCACTGATAAATGTAAACATGAGAGGTGTGTCAATGTAGATTTTTTTTCCTTCTTTTGTTTACTTCTATTTATTAACTTAATTAAATGGTAAAACTACCTTTAAGGTATTTAAAAATAATTTAAAGGGTAAAACACATTAGTACAACGAAATACACCTATGAAAGGAATGGACAAAATGCTTTCCAAACCCTTTTCCCTTCGGTCACTGTTCACCAAACCCTGTCCTCCCCTTCTTCAATCCACCTTGCAAATCTATCCATCTAGTCTCTAATCCTTTCTTACCCATCTATCTACCTAATCCCTGATGAATTCCCAGTCCCTTTCATTGCTGCTCCATGCCGATGGAGAGAATATGCAAAATGACATAGGTGTCATTAACTCCTTTGCTGCTAATTGGAATAGCCTTAATGGTGCCATTAACTACGACGTTAATACCCTAACTGCCAATTCTCAACTAAAAGAGACCCTAAATGTCTCTCATTCTCCATTTGGGGAAAACATTGTTGCGGTAACTACCCAGAAGTAGAAAAAATGGTAATGTCGAAGCTGGTATATGGAGCCAAGTTGTTAAGCATGGCAAGGGTGGAACCCTACCCTAAGATGAAGCTACAATACTTTGAACCCACAAAGTACAAAGAGCATATTCTCGTTAAACCACCAAATGAAGTTGTAAATAGAGGAAGCCTTGAATGGGAAACATGCTTAGTTGGGTATTTTGTGGAAAAAAAGCTCACATTCTCTGTTGTTAACCATATTGCCCACAAGATTTGGGACAAGTTAGGGCTTCTTGAGGTCCTAGCTGATGAGAAAGGGTTCTATTTTTTCAAATTCATGTGTGATGCTTCTAGAAGCAAAGTATTTGAAGATGGCCCATGGCTCTTCTCAGGAAGGCCACTTATCCTCAAGAAATGGCAGTATGACCTTATCCTTTCCAAAGAGGACTAGTCCATGATTCCCCTGTGGATTAAGCTACATAATGTTCTTCTATAATACTGGAGTGAAGAAGGATTAAGCTACATTGCCAGTGCAATTGGAAAGCCACCACATGTTGATTCTTTGATAGATAATAAAAAGCGAATTTCCTTCACTAGAGTCTGTGTTGAAGTAAAGGCTCATACTAAATTGGTGGAGTCCTTTGATTTGCAATTGGATGAAGAGGGTAAATCATGTATAGTTAAAATAAAAGTGGAGTACCCATGGAGGCCCAAAGTCTACTTTGTTTGCAATATTTTTGGGTACAGTGAAACTAAATTTCCCAAAATGAGCATTAACAATGGTTGGAAGCCTAAAAAGGCACTGCAACAGAAGGTCAACCAAGACAAAGGGAAAGTAGTAATTGAAACCATAGTCATTGATGTGCCAAATGTGGAGAGAGTACAAACCGAGGTCCCAACCACCACTCAGATAGTTGAATACTCTGCTCCAAAGGCTCCCCCCATTTCTGCAAATCTAGCTAATGAGACTCTGAATACCACACAACTTGTAGACAATCTGGTAACCTCTATAAACACAATTGCTTCTCCACTTGCTGATTGTAATGTCTTATTTCCCTTTTCCAACAAATTTTCTGGTTTAGAAATGGAAGAAGGACAGTTAATTGTTGAAATTTCTCCCCATTAGTCTTCTATCTGTGGAAAATTAAAGGAAAAGGCTTGCATTATTGAAGCACCAGAGGCTAATACTAGCAGCACAACACTGGATAACACCAAAAAGAGAAAAGGTCAAAAAAAAAAAAGGGCTCTGAACAGAGCAAACGTAAGGGAATTAAGCACCTTAAGCTCAGTCAAGCACTATTGCAATGATAAAAGTTTCATGCTGGAATATTAGAGGGCTAAATAAAGCCTCTAGACAAGAAGAAATAAGGAAGTTTATTAAAGTTAATCAGCTGGATTTTGTTGGCATTTTGGAAACAAGGGTAAGACCCATTAATAAAAGCTTCATTATGAGGCAAGTGTTCAGGAACTGGAGCTATGTGGATAACTATAACTGCCACACATTGGGTAGGATTTGGGTGGGGTGGAATCCCAATAACTTGAATGTTAGTAAAATATCTGAGACAAAGCAGACTATACATTTTTACGTGCAGCATGTTGACAATAATCTAATTTTTTTTTCATTTCGATTGTTTATGCATCTAATGAGGAGCATGATAGAAGGGACCTATGGAGGAGGAATCTTAGATATCATGCAGGCATTTTTTGTTCTGAACCATGGTTCCTTGGAGATTTTAATACTATCAAAAGTCTTCAGGAAACAAAGGGTTGTTCAGGGAGATGGACTAGTTCCATAGAGGATTTTGATACTTGTTTGCAAGATACTGAGTTAGTTGACTTGAGATACAATGGGTTTCAATTTACTTGGTCTGATATGAGAATTGTGGGATGCAGTATTTCAAGAAATCTTGATAGAACTCTGGTTAATGAGGCTTGGAATAGCAAGATCCAACAATCAAATGCTGAATTCTTAGCACCAAGTGTCTCTTACCAAAGCCCAGTTTTAGTTAAAATTGGAGAAGAAATCAGAGGAGAAAGACTCCTTTCAAGTTTTTTAATCATCTGGCTGACAGAGGAGACTTCCTTGAGTTGGTTAATCAAGCTTGGGGTGCCTGGGACAATGGATCACTCCAATTTCAATTACACTGCAAGCTCAAAAGATTAAAGGCATTACTCAAAGGAAAAAGAAAATAAATGGGGGAGGCATCTGCAAAGGTTATTGAGGCTAAAATGGCTCTTTAAATGTGTCAAGCCAAACTGGATAACAATCACACTGACTCCAACTTGAGATTGGAAGATAGACAGCTCTTCTCCATGTACCTTACTGCTGCTAGGAATGAAGAGATTGTACTCAAACAAAAATCAAGGATACAATGGTTAAAAGAAGGGGATCAAAATACTTCTTTTTTCTTTAAATCCATGGTTAACAGGAGAAACAAAAAGAAGATCCTATCTTTGAGGAGAAATGATGGCTCTACTGCTGATGGTGAGCTGGAGGTTAAGAATGAAGCTATTGATTTCTACCAAAACCTTTTGAGCTCAACTAGCCCAACTTATTCAACCAGTGAAAGAAAAGAAATTTTTTTCTGAAGTGATGCAAAAAAGACTTTCTGATGAACAGGCTGTTGAAATGTGTAAGGAGGTTACCAATGAAGAAATCAAGAAAACTCTCTTCTCCTTAAAAGATCAAGAAGCTCCAGGACCTGATGGATACAATGCGTATTTCTTTAAAAAAAATCCTGGCCAGTTATAAGGGATCTTGTCTATGTTGCCATCAAGGAATTTTTTGCTACAGGTAAGCTTCTAAAGGAGTTTAATTCTACCATCTTGGCCCTTGTTCCTAAGGTTCCTAATCCAAGCATTATGAATGAGTTCAAGCCTATCTCTTGCTGCAACATTATTTATAAGGTCATCTCTAAAATCATTGATTCTAGAATTAAAAGAACTCTTCTTGAGATCATCAATCCTAACCAAGCTGCATTTATTCATGGAATAAATATTGGGGACAACATTCTTCTTGCACAAGAACTATTAAGAAACTACCATAATGACAAAGGCTCCCATAGATGTGTCATTAAGATTGATCTTATGAAAGCTTTTGACACTCTGGATTGGAGCTTCCTGATGGAGACATTAGAAGCCTTTAACTTTCCTAGAAGAATGAGAAAATGGGTCCAAGCTTGTATTTCCTCTCCTAAGTTCTCTATTAATATTAATGGTGAGCTTGTTGGCTACTTTCCAAGCAAGAAGGGAGTTAGGCTGGGGGACCCCATGTCCCCCTCCTTGTTTATTATTGCAATGGAAATGCTAACACTTATTGTCCAAAGAAATATCTCTCTCCAACCTTTCAAGTTCCATTGGATGTGAAAAAAGGTCAAGCTCAGCCATCTCTCCTTTGTCGACGACCTCTTGTGTTCAGTCATGGTGACCTAAGTTCTGTTAGGATGCTTAATCACTCTCTGCAGCAATTTCAACCTTCTTTGGACTGTAGATCAATCTTGGAAAGAGCAATATCTACCTGTGTGCAATCCAACTTGAAACTAAGTCTCAAATTATTCAACTTATTGGACTAACTGAAGGAGATCTCCCTGTCAGATACTTGGGCATTCCTCTCATCATTTCTAGGCTGAAAAATCAGCACTGTAAAGGTCTTGTGGAGCAAATCAAAACAAGGATTAGATCTTGGACTAACAGATTTTTGTCTTATGCAGGTAGGCTACAGCTTGTAACCTCTATCATTAGCAGCATACAAGTTTTCTGGTCCACTCACCTTGCTCTTCCACATTCTGTGATTGAAAAAATTGAACAACTCATGAGGGATTTCTTATGGAAGGGTGTGGAATTAAAGAACACTAGGGCTAAAGTTGCATGGGTTTTGGTCTGCAAACCCAAAGATGAAGGAGGATTGGGTATTAAAAGGCTCAAGGAATGGAATTATGCTTTGCTCATGAAACACATATGGAGGCTCTTCACTGATAAAGAGATCTTGTGGTCACTTTGGATCCATGCTTACCACTTAAAAGGAAGAAGTCTTTGGGAAATCAGGGCTACTCCAGCTAGGTCCTGGACTTGGGAAAATATCTTGAAACTATGGGAGGTAATAAGGCCACTTTTGATGCACAAAGTTGGTAATGGTAATGACACCTTCTTATGGCTTGATAACTAGCATCCCAATGGTCCTCTGTTCTCTAGATGGGAACATATTCCTATCCTTGCCTCTAGCCTCAATATGAATTCTACAGTTAGTTGCATTATCTTTGAGAATCAAGGGAGTTGGCATAATGCTTCTTCTCCTGATCCTATTGGAAGTGTTGATTATATGCCTACTTACACTCCTAATCAGCTCTTCTAAGATAAGTTCTTTTGGTCCCTCAATGAAAATGGTAGATTCTCTACCACTTCTGCTTGGCAATACATCAGGGAAACTGGACCAAAAATCTCTTGGTACAAGCTTGTCTAGTACAAGCAATTCATCCTCAGAATAAGCTTTATTTTTTGGCTTGCTATTAGGCAAAGATTGTACACCAAGGAAAGAGATCGCTCTTCCTCCAACCAAGCTGATCTGAGATGCATCCTATGCAGACAATTTCCTGAGTCTCATCCTCACCTTTACTTTGAATGCTCATAGTCCCAAGGTATATGGACTTCTATCCTGTCTTGCAGTCAAATCCGGTGGTCACCTACTAATTGGCCCTCTTTCATTAGTTGGCCAGCTCTCCATTGAATGGGGAATTTGATCAATGCAGTGGTTTTGAAGCTTAGTCTTTTGGTTACTATTTATCATATTTGGATGAAAAGGAACCTTAGAGTTTTTACCAACAAATATAGGGATTGTAATACCCTGAGTCATATTATCAAGCAAGCGATCAAAGACAGGCTCTTGTCTGCTATGTTCAAGAGTTCCCCTCTGAATTTGAGAATGCTGCAGTTATGGGACTTACCGCAGAGTTGCTTGTTATAATCTTCTCCTTGTATGCTGCTTGTATTTTATTCTTTTGGTAACTTAGGACAAGGATTCCATGGGAAGTAGCGACTATGCTCTATACTTCCCACTGAATTCTGTTCCTTGTTCTTTCCTTTCTTTTCTCTGTTGGACAACACTTAGGTTGTTCTTCTTTTGCTCTTGTATAGCATGTTTTTAATACACTCTACTTTTCGTTCGAAAAACACACTAGTAATCCTTCAAGTGTGCCTTTTGTATCAATTTGGTTCCTAATCTTTGAACTGTGTCAATTTGATCCTTTAATTTCTCAATTTATGTCAATTTGGTGCAGTACTAGATAAGTGTTTGACTTAATTAACGGAGATGTTCACGTGATCATACTTGAAGGGTAACTTTGGTCTCTCAAATTTGTAACTTTTTTCGTTTTGGTCCTTCAAGTTTATAGTTTGTGCCACTTTAGTTAGTTTAGTTTTCAAAGAATGTGTCTCAAATGTAATCACGTGACATGCACAAGACGATCTTTGTTAGTAAATTTTAACTGTCATTTTCAATTGAAGTGACACAAATTCAAAAGTTTAGAGATTAAATTGACACAATTAAAAAATTAAGCACCAAATTGACACAAAATACATGATTAACAATATAGACATACTAACTAATGTTCGTGTCTGAAGGTACTATATAACAAAAAATCAACATATGATTAAGAGTGTGTATGTGTGTTCATATGATCCGAGCAAATGTGTATGCATAAATCCACACTCTCATAATGTTATAAGGTTATTCTATTGTGGTGTGGATATCAATCACTACTTAAATAGGTGCAAACTCTTTGCGAATGTGGAGCAAATACTCCATGGGCCTATATGGTTTGCATATGTAAAATATATATATATTTTTTTTTTGGGTATAAAAAATAGAAGAGAACTTGTCTGAACAGCAGGACTTTTTTATTTAGTTTTCCAAAAATTTGAAACAAAAAGTACAAATTTCAGAAAACACTAATAAAAAAAAAAAAAATCTGTGTGTTGCATGCTTAAGGTTGATTAAATTCAAATATTTAACATAGAGATGTGTGAAACGAGGTAGAGATGGCCTTACTAAAAAAGAGGATTACGTGGCTCAAAATCTTCTAAAAATATTAGTCTTATCATCCACTAGTGATTAAACAAAAAAGTCAACTCAAAAATTTAAACATCATCTCGATATTTTTTGCATCGACTATATAAATTTTGTTTCACCATTGTGCTCCAATATCAGTCATTTTTTCTGTTAAAGCATTAGCTAACATATCTTTCTTTACTATTTCATTGAAAGTTAATTTTAGTCTTCTTCTAACTTTACGCTTTCCGTCAATAGCTATTATATGATTTTTTTCTCCCCGGTATCATATCAAACTATTTATAAATAGAAAAATATTATCTAGACTTAAAAACTTGACTTGATAAATCAATATAATAATCACATCATTAAGTCAATTTTAAAATCTGTGTGGCATTGCTCAAAAAAAATATGCACAAACCACCTATTGAAATAATGATCGAGGGGATGCAAGGCTTTTAGGCTAAGATCCAAATTTCTTTCAATACACTTTTAACTTATTTTTTCACAACGGTACATTATATCTAGTGCATATTTATCAAGAATCCATTTATATATAATGAGTTCCCCATTTGAACTCATGATGCATAATCCACCTTCAAAAAAAATTGAATAAAAATATATTAAAGTGAATTCAAATCTTTTACTCTATCAAACCATATCCTTGAGAATGGTGCGGATTAAAGATTTAAAGTAGACTTCATGTTTGAGGGTGGGGAGGCATGACAATAGGTAGAGACACCCAAAAAAAAAATCTTTTGATAAATTTGTTACAAGATATGTTAGTAATTGATAAGATATGATAGCAAAATTTTGATTAATAACGAAAAATAATTACATTAATAGAAAAAAAAAATCAAAAAGCTGCATTCAAATTTATTGCTTCATGCCTCAAAATATGTCGGGCTACCCCTGATCATAAAGTTATTGACATTTTAGAGCAATGTGTACAAACAAGCAGATCAGACCACCTCTGTCCGAGAGAGAGAGAGAGAGAATTCGTTTTGAGATTATTAAAACATACAACACACACTGTTCTGTGGGAATTACAAAGAACTCCTTTTCGGAGGAAAAGGGAAAAAGGGAGAAATACAACCATACGAGAGGGGGGAAGAAACAACCACCACAAGGCTCCACTACAATAGCCCAGTGCTTCAAAAACAAAATACAACGCATACAAGACAGACAGCACTTGGGCCATTAAAAAGCATGCAGGAGAAAAAGACAGAGTCCGAAAACATACTCTCTCATATACCACCCCTCCATTTGCCTGCTGAGTGAGCCTCAAAAAAGCATTCCCCAAACTATTGACCAACGAAAAATGACGCAAGAAAAAAAAAAGGATTAGGTAACCTCCCAAACTAGACGATGCCTTCTCCATGGGGGGAGCATCAAAACATAAATTCTCCTCCCATTCATATAAAAACTTCATGTCTTGATGCCTCAGCTGTTCCTCTTCACAAAAATTATTTTTGGACTGGGAAGAAGCTGAAGCACACAATTGTTCATCATTGGTTTCAGCTCACCCTTGGATCCTCCTGGCTGAAGCCTTACCTGCAGATTAAGAATACAAATGCAAACATCTTTTATCCAGTAAGTCAGAAAAAGTTCAGAAAAATTTCTGGCCAATTGAAATATCTGCTGCTACTAGTTGTTCTTATAAGCCCTTCCCAATGGCAAAGATGAACTCACAAATCTGTCCGGCCTGATAAAGGATGAACCAGGGAATCATCCAAAAATATCAAACATTTTTAACAGGAAGAGAATGAACACTCAACTAGCCTTGAAAAATATTTTATACTGAAAAGCTCAATTGAATTTATAGCTTTAGGCCTCAAGACATATCAAGCCACCCCTGGTCCAATGGAACATGATGGACAAGGCATGCTCCCTCTGCCCCCATTGGAATGAGGCCACAGACCTAAGAATAAGACGTAGTGATAGGTTTATGTCATTGGTCCTTTTGGTCTTGAGCGTTCATGTAGAAGCTTAATTTACTTCATATCACATTGGCATTACTACAAATCTTATACTTGGGTGGCCACAGAAAGAGATATTTCAGTTCCTCAATCATAACATTCTGAGGTATTCATCTTGCTAGACAATTGCCGTAATCCGGGGCAAGGTTCATTATCTCACCACATCATAACTATAAATTAGATAATATTAAGCTACAAGAAACTGGAGGAAGATTGAGTAAGAGAAGCACAAACCTCATATTTCTCAAGAAGAGAAGCAAATAATGCAGCGACTCCAAAGATTGCTAACTTCTGACCTACACAGGCTCGTGCACCATATCCAAAAGGAAGAAATGCTGCATTTTCACTTGGGTCTTGTAAAACATATGATCTCCATCCTGAATCCACAGGTTCCTCTGCAGACCCTGAGAAGAACCGAGAACGTCAACCAAAACTTTTTTTGAATGAACACTATTAAGCTTTACTGTTTTGATTCCATGTCTGCCTTCGTAGTAGGTGATCATAATGTTAACATGATCCAAACTTACATGTCATACAAAGGGTTGTCGGTGCAAATTGATTCACCTGAAACCAAAATGAGCTAACACATCATGTGCTACGTTCAGTTGTGGCAAAAAGTAGCTTGCTCAACCCACAGAAAATGTTTCTTCTGTCAAACTGATATATTGCGACAAGGAAACATGGCTTTTGATATATGAAAATTACTTATATTGTTGTACCTGCACTCTTAGAGCCTGTCCTACATCAACAGTGTAAAGGTTTCAAAATTATTTTCTGAGACTTGTTGGCCTCTCAACTTATATGCTATATTTTTATGTTCAGACTTCAGTTGAGCATGCTAGTAACTTGTTTGTGTGTTTTCTCCTAAGGTCATACATGAGGGAACTGTAAAGTCTCCCATTTAGTACATGACCTTGTGGCATTCCCACTTAAAGCGTGCACAAATAACAAGAAAAATGCAAAGGAAAGGAATGCTAGATTATAGAGGAAGTATAAAAGAAAGCCAAAGGCCGAAGTAAACCTGCAGATGATTTTGTATGAACTAAATCAGATTTCTTTTCAGACTTGGACAGAAAACGATATGGATTGAACCGGCTAGCATCACTCCCCCAAATAGAATCATCCATCTGTACCAACTGAACCGGCACAACAAGTATTGCTCCAGCCGGTATTACTTCACCCGTTTTGAGATTCAAGTCTTCAAGAAGCACATAAATTTTTAGTGATTAAATGTGAAACAGCAGTGAAAAAACCAACAAAGCAACAAAAACAAAGAGGAGATTAAGCCAACAGCTATATTGCACCAAAAAATGCACTAGATAAAACTGACTATGAAAGAGGCGAATTACACAGCAAAGCTTACATGAATTCTTGAATAAAATCACAGAACCTAAGTCAGCCAAATGTATTAGATCATACTTTGCTAAGTACCATAAACGCACCAACGTCAGGGGTGAATCCCATCAAACCCTGCCCCTCCCTCTTTGAAGGGGGCAGGTATAAAATAAGCCAAGATAGAGTGATCCATGATGCCGCATTTTAGTAAATGCATCCAAATCAAGATAAAATCAAATCCATCAAATCCGGCTCTTACTAAGATCATCTAGACGCAACTAAATATTTAACTCAAGTTCTGAAACTGATTCTAGGATTCAGATGCTAACGAAAGCTATCAGCAGTTATCACACCCTAAGAAGCAGGATACAGACACGGGACATGAATGAGATACAACATGGACACTTCATTTCTACAAAAATAATACACAGACAAATTGAGCACACATAGAGAAATATAATAATACTAGCAACACTCCGTGCCTAAAGACGCGGTGCAACATAAAACCAAAGCGTCCAAAAAATTGATCACACTATATCAAATAGCAATTGCTTTCCTTCCCTTTCTTTAATCATAATTTGAAATTAATTTCTACCGAGTATTTTTTAAAACAAAAATTGACAAATTTTCTCAAAATACATGACCTCAAAAAATTACCAACATGTGTACACGATATGAACAATATTCAAAATAAAAAATTTATTGAGCCACAAATTAATTAAAAATTAAATGATTCATCTCGTGATAGAAATGGGCGGGAAAAATGTGAGGATAATATTCAAATGCTTATAGGATATTATATAGATATGATGTGAGTGTGGCCAAAAGATATTTTCCATCAAAAGTGTGCTGGCCATTTTATCCCCTAAAACAAGAGTAATTCCAGTAACATTAAACTGCTGGATATTTTAGAGGAGAGAATTTGGTGCACAAAATTAAGGGCTGCATTGCTAGGGGAGCAAATCTGGCCGTGCATGCTACACATCATGGGCCCATTCAGTCAAATCTTTACTAGAGTTATCAGATCTACTACCTCAAAATAGCCCTCATTCAAACACTTTGCAGCCTACCTTTCATCCAACTGGTTGAATAATCCACAAGCACATTTCAAGTCGGTAGGGAGTAAAATAGCCCATTGCACTTGGAATTTCTTGTGCTAGCTCCATAACCCACCAAAATATTTCAGTCTTAATTTATACTCCCCTCATGTGGGCAAAGACATTACAGCCACAATTCCATTTGAAGCAAAAGCAAGGCCACACTTGGAGACCCCCCCCTCTCTCTCTCTCTCTCTAACTTTCTGCGATTTCTTTTTGTATTTGATTGGCAAAACATCTGAAACTTCTCATCCTCAATGGTCTCTCTCTACGGTCACTCTCATTTCTCTCTAATAGCTCCTGCAACTTTTCGTTCTCTCTTGATATTATGTGCTTTGCTTCCTCTTCACTAGATCTGCAACATCACAAAGAACCATGTCCTGAACTTGTCGAGGACGTGTTCTGAGATTCAAAAATAGAAACATTTGGACACGTGTTCAACACCTGCCTAGGACGTATTCAACGTATTGGAGACTGATAAACGAGCATAAATAAAGTGCTAGCGATTCATAGACCACACCACAAGGCATCACCATCAATTAGTGAGCAGCGTAGAAGACAGCATGATAAAAATGCAATTATCCTAGGCTTTCTTGTCAAATGATAATAAATTATTAATTATCCCAAAAGATAATAATCGTGTCTTGTACTTTCCAATGAATGGAAATGTCTCTAATAATATCCATGGGATGGGTTTGGATGTAGTTCGATTTAAACTTCTCCTGGAATTCTACAAAAGAATGAAAAAACAAGATGGAGCTTGAACAGCCCCATATGTTCCTATGTCCAAAAGATATAAAGAAAATTAACCCAAATTTTCAGCAGTTTGGTGCTACAAATGACAAGTTTTATCTCCTAATGTCAAACATGGGATAATAACTCAAGCAGTAGTTAAGAAGCCTTTTTAAGGGTCAAATTGCTTACAACCTCAAGTTTTCAAAGTTTCCAATTAAATCTCTCTTTCATTACAATTCTAGTGCACGGACATTCTAAAAAGAGTTAAATCACAAGATGTTGTATACAAAAGAAAGTTTCTGAATTTCCAAGAATCACAAAAACATCTCTAAATAACAGAACAAAGTGTGTAACATGTTTGAGCAAAATCTTCTATGCATAATTTCCTTCTGCAACTTTTGACTTGTTTAATAAAACAAGACCATTACCAAGTGGTGGTCCCACTGGCACAAGGTGCTGGGATAGATATATATATTGGGTACAACTTGGACATTATATGTCAAATTTGGCAGCTGCAGGACTCAAAAACACTTTCTGGTAACTCGTGTTTTTGACATTGCACGAAGCAACAGCTGCGTACTTGATTTGTTTATATATGTATGTTTTTTCTTCCCCTACCATCTATTGTTTAAGAGAGAGTAGTAGGTTATTGCGTCAGGGGCAGAGCCAGCGTTCAAGTTTAGAAGCGGCAAAATATGACTAAAGAAATTCATCAAAGCGGTCTAGTGCATAAGGCTCTGTCTATGCGGGGTTTGGAAAGGTCAGATGTACACAATCAATACAAAAAAAAAATTGAAATCTTAACATGGCAAGATATATAAGATTTAAGACTAAATTATTTGATGAAACTAGTTTCTATTTATACTAAATAAAATAGAAGCAAAAAAAGTCACAAAAAAATCCAAAAATATTTAGTCAGTATATATATGACATTTCACAAATTTTTTATTCAATCAAAAAATAAAACACTTGTTTAGGGGCACAAACAATGGACTACTAACTTTAAAAAAAATCAAAAAACTTAGTTCATGTTAAACAATTTTCAAGAAATTAGGGAAGGACAGGGGGGGGGGGGGGTAAGATGTAAAAGAGACTCAAAAGTCAACGAGGGGCAACCCCTCCACCCCTGGATTAAGGTGTTCCTGACAGCCAAGTCGAGGGGCAAAATAGATGTAACATGATCCCTTTCATTCATTTGCATACGGAATTAAAGTAGCGTTAAAACAGACAGGAGCTCTCATTGGCTTTAACTACTGAAATTCTCGCGATTAAGAAGTCTTCATATGCTCTTTTCTTCTTTGGTAAGTAGAAGTCTTCAAACGTTGAGTGCCAAAAAGGTACAATAAGCATCAACTGTATTAGATGCAACTACCAGCCAAGTTCATTCATATATTAATGAAGAGTTTACTCAAACTGGTAAGCAAGGACTACATATTCAGTTATATGACTATTTATCGACAACCAAGGAGACAAATTGAATAAATGTCATCACCCAGCGCAAGCTTACAACCACAAAGTTATAGTTTAGGCCGCCACTTTATACAAATAATGTCAAAGATTAAGTCTAGACCCATCACACCTCTCCCAACACCCTTGATTTACGGAGAAACAATCGGGCAGTGACATTTATGACATTTAGTAACAAACTCAATAAAGGATGATAAGATGCACAATGAGATCGAACTATGTTCTACACACAAGAGCCTACCCTCTTATGACCATGCAAAGAAACAGAAAAACATAAAACCACAGTTGACTTGAAAATTTTCCAACTGATTTAGGGTCCTGAAATTTGATGAATATAAATGGATTTTTTATATCATAAAACTAGTGTATAGATTCAAGTATAACTTCCTCATAAATCTTTATGAAAAAAGAGAATGCATGTACACAACTTTCCTGTCCAAGGGGATTGTGAAAAATATTAAGTTTGTCCGAGGGAATACATATGCATCCCAAGAGAGCAGGCATCTCTAAATATATAATTTACATCCACTGAAGGCTGAGCAAATCTCCTATTCAAGAGCAAGCAATCTTACCATGTTTGAGAGAACATCTTTGTAGTAAAGGCCCAGCAGGAAGAAGACGGGCAGATTCATATACAGTTGCCAACAAAAAGGGCATCCTATCAACATCTAGTCGGTCTTGTTCCTGAGAACCTTTCCGCATTATAATTATCTCAGAGTGAATCTGCAGAAAATAAAAATACAGTTGAATTGAAAATTTCAAGAGTATTCCTTGAGTTTGAAATTTCAAACTTGGTGGTGAAAAATCTATACCATTTCCTCAGTACAAAAAAATTAGAGAAAAAAATCAATTGAGTTGAACATAAATCAACCATTTTGTTTCCTACTTTTATTGAACAGGATTTACTAAATTTCACATTATCGAACTTCCGTAAAAGAACCAATATATGCAGAAAGTAAGAGCATGTCATATGCCAACCTAAACCCCAACTGTGGCATATGTATGTTGTGATGGAATTGAGAAACAAACATCATATTTAAATAATCAATAGTTGACCAAACCAGTTATTTAAGGCGTAAAAGCAAACTAAAGCGCTTAGATCTCCTAAGGCCTATGCGAAAAGCGAAGCAAAAGCTGCATCGAAGTGAGGCGAACAATATAAAAACCAAAAAAGTATTTTAGTTTAGTTACTACTAAGTATCAAGTTTCAACTTCTCAAGTACTAAATATTCAAATGCGACCCAATACCTAAAAATTTAAATTGAAAAAAGCATCAATAATATATCAAATTTGAACGTCAAACAAAACGTTAACATTTAAATTTTTAAAATGCCACAAATCATCAAATCCTAACATTTGAAGCAAAATAAATCAAACATCAAACATCAAACATCAAAAGAGAAGCAAAACCATAAAGCAAAAGTAGAGCTCAACGAACATTAAATCATTGAGCCAACAAAAGCTCTATCTTAGAAGAAGAAGAGGAGGAGGAGAAGTAGAAGAGGAAAATAAGTACACACACCTAGTCTTTGTAGTGAATCGTATTTTGGAAGTGAAGAAAAAGAAATTGGTCTAGTGAATTCAGCCTCTAGGTCGTAGATCATTTTCCTAGAAGTAGCAGTAAATCATTTGTAAAGAAGAATAAAAAAAAGAATTAGAAGAGGAGGAAGAGAACAAGAAAAAACATAGGTGAATCAAGCCCATACGCCGTGACTTCAGCACTCATGACCCTTAATTCTCAATCAATTTTACTGTAGAAATTTTAGGGTAAGACGTATGTATTGATTCAGTGGCAATCAGCTCTTATGGCATGTCCAATTTTTGATCCAATTGATCAAATCTAACGGCCCATAATAGATCCAAAAATCAAAATAAAAAATATACTAAAGCATTTGCCTTTTCGCTTTCGCCTAGGACGCTTAATCCTTGCTTTGCCTGGGACCTGAGCTCGCCGCCTAGGCACGCTTTTAATTACCATGGACCTAACTGACAGAAATTAATCCTCGACCTCTATTTGACACTTCACCAAGTACAACTATACAAGGTATAAGCTCATGGGTTTTGAAACGGTGAGGGGAACTCAATTCAGCTACAGGAACTTTTTAAGGACTCTTGACAACTGAAATTCAAAAACAAGACCGATAGACCCAAGAAGAGCAATCATGATTTGAAAGTTTATTAGGTAAAGAAAATAAAAAAGCAACAGATTACTAGGCATAAAACAAAAAAGGAGAAAAGGCATAAAAGCTCCTTGTTATCATACATCCACTATGCAAACACGTAGGTCATTGAAGACACAAAAGTAGGTATCATGAATAACTAGCCATGTAATAACAAAAGGTGAACGACATTAGTTTTAACAACAAAATAATAATTGAGCACTCTCTAAGATAATTTAACACAGAACAAATTCAGTAAAACTACACATTACGAAGAATATAGAATTTAGCATGTAAAGAGACTGATTGAGTGATTGGTACTTTTTCTAACCTTCTTACAGTAAATGAATTACATAAGACATCATTTGAACATATCTACATGTAGTCCATGCAAAGCAACATGATCTGAGGGTTCTGAACATGACAGGAACGAAATTAGGCAATAAAACCCCTACCTTATCCTGTATATCTGGATGTGTCACAAGGCTTGCCAAGATATTACCAATCAGACCAGCAGTAGTTATAGACCCATGAAACATCAAGCTTACGATATCCCCACATGATTCTTCTCTTCCACGAAGATGACCATCAAACTCCCATAAGAATGCAGGGTCTCCTCCTGTATTTTTAGTCTCATTGTAAGGACTTTGATCCATTTCACAAAATACCTTTTTATGCTGTCTGCAATGCTGGATAATGTCTTGAGTTAAACATTTTAGCTTTGAACAAAAATGCTGGAATCTCCAAAATCCCTGTTTCCAGAAGGGAGTAACACTGTACGAAGCCCAAAAGCAAGCATCCTTAGCAATATTCATGAGAAGCTCTTCATAAACAGTTGCCTTAGACCAAGCTAAAAACTCATCTCCAAATAGCGTCGCTCCCAGGATGGTAAAAGCTAAATGTTGAGAAACCATTGCACAATCCAGACCTCCTCTAGCCATGACATTCTGAATTCTGTCCATCACACAGTCCACAACTCTTGCAGGAATTCCAATTGCCCTGCCGAACAATTTCCCATTCAGTTCCGAAGCCAATGAGTTCCTTCTCTCTTTTACCTGCAGCATATGCAGAAACATAGTGAAGTGAATCCAAGAATGATAATGATAATAACAGGATGAAAAGTAATATCATATTTTGCAGGTTAATCTTACTATCTAAAGAAGCAATTGTGATCTAATATATCAACAGAATTAAGTGTATTTTGATAATGAAGACATCCCATGGTATCTTCCATAACAGACAGCAATTGCAATCACTAACCTAAACATCATTTGCCATGTAAATGACTTCACTCAAAAGGAAAAATAATTGGGCATCTCAAGGTTCAATCAATGGGATTCAAGAAGAGAATGCCTATGCGCGAACACATTTATAATTTCCATGAGGAATGTTTTTAACAAAAATGAAATCTCAATGTCTTATAATTTCATTTAAAGCTCCCAGAATAAAAAATCGTGCAAATTTGACACAATGAACCCAAATCAGAACTACTCAGCTGGTTAGCCGCACAAGGATTGCACAAAATGAATACTAAAAAAATCCTGGAGAAGGGCAAAAAGAATTTCAACAATTGATGATAAAAACACCATAAAAACTTGCCTGACAAGGAGCATACAAGGTTCAACTGAGGAAAGCATCAAAACAATAACATGTAGCCACAAAAGCAATGTAAGCTTCGAGTCTTCAACGACGATGAAGAAAGGAAAAAAAATTGGCAAGGCATTCTTGTGCTAAATCAGGACACCCTAACAACAAAAGACAAATTTACGTGATTTGACATTGACGTGTATTGATGAAAACTGCACTGAATGAGAATTGAAAGTTCTTGCAAGTTTTCTAACGTCAACTTATTTTACAACATTCTAATAAAGCCCCCAATAAAATCAAAACTTCCAATCCTAATCTATGAGATAAAGTTGTCATTATTTAGATTATTTATTTGGCAACCTAAATTTTTTTGCATTCAGATTATTTTCCTTATTTTTTGATATTTTTCCGAAAGAAAGACATAAGATAATAATTTAGTGTTTATTCTTTATGCAATAAAACTCCTTCACAATTAAACTTCAAACCCAGTGCAAGTAGACTCAATTCTAATTTTACAACCTCTTATGCTATGTATCACACCGATCACTCCAAGTTTGAATACTCTAAAAATAAAATAGAAGCATGTCTTCTAATGGATTTCTTTTCCCATTCTTAAAATAATAGTTGTTAAAGAATGATTAAAGACTTCCGAGCAGTGGCAAGTGAATACAATTGCCACAAGAGCCAATAATGTACCTTGTCAAAGGAGGAGACGAAAAGGCTCGATCGTCCAAAGGCCAGACGGAACGCCCTTCCCGTCAAAGGCAACTTATCCTCGGCCTGTAAGAGCATCTCTTTGATAAGTTCTGGATCTTTAATCGACACCAGAAGCTGAGTAGGACCTAACCATAGCTTGACAACTGGTCCATATATCTGATGTGACTTGGACAAAAGGTCTGACAAACAAAACCATATTTAGATGATATGATTTGGATGTTTCAATAGGATACTTAATTGCAGCAATGAATTAACCCAAAATCATTAAATACATTATTGAAACTAAGGAAACAAAATACAAGGGAAAGATGTATTTTCTCTCCCAATAAAATTAAAAATACAAATTGTCAACTTTGGCAAATTAACAAATTAAGAAAGGAAATTGCAGTTTCAGATGCAAATTTCACATGCAAATAAATGCAACACAAACATACAAATTTCATGTATTTCTCTACTCTGATGAGGTGGTGGCTCACCCATACTTGCCACATCATCCTTCACGGGCCTACTTCATAAAACCAAAACATTTTACTTGTATCTAGGAATGTCTAGCCTACTCTTAATGATAAGAGGATGAACTGCTAGGCAGCTTATTAGGATAAAATTCAGGCCTCAATACTCCTAGTAAGGACAATCTTTTTTTTCCTGTAATACGCACCTTGTCTACACAAGGTTTAAGCCACAAACCTACTAGTTACGAGATGAGTCTTGGCCATCCAAACTAACCCACAATGACTAAACCGAAACCATAGATACCGGGATTGTATATACCTCTCCCGTCCCACAAACCGGGTCGCACAACACAAAACAAGTGGGTCGCGATCTGGATCACTTAAATTCCAGACCCCAAAGTTTAACTCAACTCCAAAAATAAATACTAATTAACTATATGTATATGAATGTATAATTATATATAATTTCACATAATAAAGAAAGAGATCCTATTAAAAACAAACCACAACTCAAATTAGAGCACCAACTAAGCTTACCCCTATCGCACCACGTATCGGAAGATATACCCTACCGTGCATCCGTACCTGTACCACTTACCAATTGACCCATAATACAGATAACATTGACCAAAACTGTGTTTTGTTACATGAAGATGCTCAATAACATAGACCTCATAGTGCATTTAATGAAGCAATTTTGCAGTACTAATATTATATAAACTTACAAATTGACTCATTATTTTCTGTTACTGACAAGGGTTTGTTATATCATCAACTATACATTTTAAAACAGCTATAGCAAATGCATTCTTTTCCCTTTTCTCCATCCACCCACAATTCGTTAGGAGCGACCTTACCACACATCATTACCACCAGCCATTGCCTCGCATCATTACTGACAGTCTTATATTTCAGTACAAAAAAACTAATTGTAATTTGTGAGTTTTAGTGCCATTTTCCGGTTGGTATTCGTAATATCTATGGCAAACCTGGTGGCATGTCATGTGAACCCATGAGTAAAAAAGTGTTATGTTCCTTAGTTTGCGAAGGAGTCACCTGCTTGTGAATTCGTAATACGAAATCGGTTCAACCTTATGTGGTCGACCTATTTTGTTATGGTATACTTTGAGGGATCCTAGGCCCCCAAATATGGGGAATTCGAGTTTCCCAGGAACTCCTAAGTTCAGCCAGAGAACTTGCAAAATTATATTACATACCTTTATTCATAACTCCCAACTCTATAAATAGAGTTTAAAAGTTAAAGATAAAACTAGCTAATACTAATCTACTCACAAACTATTCAAGATAATAACTAATCTACTCCTAATTACTAGGGATAACATATCTATCCCTTAGTATTTTATTCAAGATAATCCTAATGCAATATACCTACTGATCTTTACCATATGCCAATAAAATAGCTACCTTCCCTGTATATTCTCCTTGGACCGTATCAAAAAGTGCGTGCGAAGTACTCAATTAAAGAACTGCAAAATTTCTGGAATCCATAACAGAGTACGCTCAAGACCTGAAAAGAGAAATCCTCCCATATTTTCTTGTCGCATATTTCTTCCCCCTATTTTCTTAGCAACCAAACAAAGGGGCAGAGTTCAATTCAAACATATGCATAAAATTCAAGGCAGCGAAACTAAACAACCGAACTTCCGACCTCTTCTGTCTACTGAGAAAACTCTAAGTAACAAAAAATTCCCGAGAAAACTCTAAGCAACAATAAATTCTCGAGAAAACCCATATAATTAAACTCGATTGAGCACAAACCGGTGAGATTTGACG